AGGGATAAGGATCACACGGTAGTATTCCAGACTGTTAGAAGAGCTAGACTACACCTAGACACATTCTAGGCCTTGCTAGAATGTTCCAGTAGCACGTTATCACATGTAGGGTTATGGTTAATGTATTTAGGCTATGGGTCAATCATGCCGAGCACACCACTCCTGGGTAGGATGGTGTCAGAGCATGTCATAGCACCATGTGACTAGATTAGTAACCTGTAGTATCTGGGGTCATTACCAGTCCCAGGGGTACTAGTACACATGTATATAAGCAGGCACATCTGAGGCTACATCCTCAGACTTATCCACTTATTGTCTACCCAACAAACTCAGGCTTAACAAGCCATACTTAACTCGTTTACTCTCTTCACTTATTCCCCTCACAAGTGAGTCTTACTTTTGGGTTATCTGTTATACGCACTCAACATCATCAGTGTGCCAAAGATGCCGATGTGACATCAGCCCATCAAGACGTGACATTGCAGCGCATTAGTTTTCAAAATCTGACCTCCCGCACTGGCATTTTCCCGTACCCCTTCCTCATGTAAATATCTCTACAAAATTTACATGGACTAGTCAAAGAGAACTTCTTGCAGCGATTTGTATTTTTATTGTATTTCTGAAAAATTTATAGCACCCATGAAAAATCAAAAGGTTGAAAGCGTTTGAAAGTACGTGCGCATGACAGTATCGTTTTGAATTCAGCTGTAAGGATTGTACCGTTCATTAGCCTTACAGACCGCAGCAGCGCCTGTATGGGGTGCTCATGACGTAATGCAGCTTGACTCAGTCACGTCTGCTTAACCCTCTTGACTTGAGAGATACTTCGGTAATGCAGCATGTAAAACCAGAAAACAACATTAGCAATACAATAGGAAAATCCTTCTGTATTCCCCCCACCCTTTAGTTAGAAAGAAATGTATTGTAGTTGTAAACTTACTGTTTACTCTTTATAAACTGTTTATAAACTATTTACAACCCTTTCTCTTTATTTACGGCATCAGTGTAAAGGTAAAGTAAAGGGTTGGAGCCTTATTATGAAGATAGCGGAGTCGTAAGTACTGTACGTTGATTGCCAGGAAAAAAGTGAGTCTGCCCGGGATCGAACCGGGAACCTTCAGCGACTTCACAGATGTGAAGCAGACGTCATAACCATTAGACCACAGACCCTTATGAATGATGAAGACTGAGGTTCCTCCGAGGTCGAACGGGAGCGCGTGACGTCATGCAAGGTGGTGGGCAGTCGTCATCGGTCAAACATGCATCAAAAGGCGAGTGACTTTTAAACGACGTTCTTCTCATCGTCCATCTCCAACATCCCCTCACAAAAAATTCCACATTTCCTCCAATAATTTCGACATGATTCGCACACCAGCAGCACGCACCTTCGCGGCCGTCTCCCGCGCGTCCCCGCTCGCTGTTCGAGCCGTCGTCCCCGTACGTATCCTCATCGTCCATCACGTCCAACCACACAGCTCACACGCATCCGATCGTCGTCGTTGTTACTATGCCCCTAGCGAGCACGCATGTTGGCAACTCTCCCACCCGACCCGACACAACCCACCGATGGTCCCAAACCCACCGACAAGCCAGAAAACAGAACTGTTCTATGGGTTTTGGTCGGTACGACAGCAGCAGGAGTTGGAGGATGGTGGTATATCAACAGTAGCAAACATGATCCTCATGCCGCACGGAAGGCCGAGGAGGCGAAGATGAAGCGGAAAGCGCAGGATCTAAAGGACGCGGGGAAGGCTACAGCACATGAAGCAGTGAAGGAGGGCGAGCAGACTTACGATGCAGCGAAGGTTGGTCCCCATCCATATTCAGACGTATTTTCCCACGATTGGCGTACCTTACTAACGGTATGTTTGATCTACTTAGCAGACGGGCAAAGACAAGGTGGCACAAGCTCGAGCGGAAGCCGAGTCCTACACCTCAAGCGCGCAGAGCAAACTCGACTCTTACAAGAATTCCGCTACTCAGAGCATCGATCACGCCAAGAACGCTGCTACTGCTACCTACAACGATGCTGCACATCGCGCGGAGAAGACGTATGAGGACACCAAGCAGGCTGCCGACCGTGCCGCCCATAAGGCTGAACAGACTACCCAGAGTTGGGGCGGGTGGGTAGGTAGTTGGTTTGGTTACGGCAAAAAGAAGGCAGAGAAGACGGCGGACGAAGCAAAGCGTGAGGGTGCTTCGTGGGTAGCTGAGGGCGCGAGTAAGGTCGATAAAGGCGCAGAGAAAGTGGAACAAGGAGCTCTCAAGAGAGCGTAATTTGAAGATACTAGTGGGAGGACGACATGGACCTGCGTCGCATTTGTAACAATATTTTATTTGCATCTTGTGTATTGTACAAGCAGGGGAAACAATGCAATCGATCTCCCAAGTCAAAATGTTTGCGCTGATAACATTCATGCCATCCCGTAAATCTCGGACAATCTGATTGGCTTTTCATCGGCATGGAAATAAATGGTACGTAGTCAGAGGCCCATTTTGAACGAGGGACGATTGGGCTAGACGTACCGAGACATGCCTTTATGAACGGTAGTGGTTCATTATTCGGCGCCGGCGGAATCACGATCAAACATTGTGGACACGCATGATATACATCGCGGAAGGCATATTGACCCACAACTCAACACATGCATCGGCATGCCTGCCACCGGTCAGCTCCCGAAGTTTGTAGACTGCGTCTGATGCGAGTGGGCGAATTCACGTGGGTTGTGGTGCGCCGTACGGTTATAAAATACTTGAAGGGATCCCGGGTCCTCGCTGTCGATCATCGTGCTCTGTATAAGAAATCTTTTTAATCAGAGTTCCGGGAGCACAACAACTGAACTTGCATATTGGAATGACTTTTTCGAGATATGAACTTGCAGGCTGCGGATCGTCGCGTCAGCTTCCGGCCTAAACACATCCGATTTGATGCATGTGGCACAACCGAACCGATTCGGCTGCCAGAAAGGTCTGCATGTAAGTACTGGGCTCTAGAACGCACCACAAACGAGAGCGTAGAAAGTAAAATACACACTTCTTATCATGAAGATCCACCAGGAGTACACCCCAATTGCCTCGTTGACTGAGGCGAGCATCGATTACCACTAGCACCTCTTTGTATGGTAGGGGGTCATAGGCCTCGAGAGTCTGGTTGCAATTATCTGTGGTTGTGAACGAGAACAATACACTGTACGGTAGAAAGGAGGAAAACATACTGCACCTGAGACGAAGTGTGGATACGTTATCAAGACTGCATGAACCACCGAACGATGAAACTGGAAGATGATCTGCATAGTACCGGAGGTCAACCTGACAGGTGTGTGACTCTGCCCGACTAGATTACAAACTACTGAGCTGAGCGAAAGGATGATCCTGGATGGCTGAACTTACCCTCAGCCAGAAGACCCGCCGTCTTCAGCCACAAAGGCCTCTAGGAAATGCGAGGGCAGAAATGTGACTCGGAAATTTGGCTATCGACGTTCGTCGTTCATCGTTTTGTTCGAAATTCGAATTCAAGTTAGAGTGGGGGCGGAAAGAAGGTGCATGGGGTCCGACCAACCTTGCTTGTCTTCTCGCTCGCTTTGCCCGTGTACAATAATTTACACAAATGTTCTATTCCTAAATATGAGCACCGTGATTGAGAGGAAAGGTTGAAGGCATAACGATAGAACGAGGGAGACAAGGGACTCGGATGAGGGGAGACGATGAACGCAGTGAGGAAAATATTAAACAATTCGCACGTGAGAAGCCCGTGAGTATGTTGAAGCTGGAGCGCCCGGGTGTCGAAAAACGAAAGACATACCGTTATTTCGTCTGCGAGGACCTTGTCAAGCAAGTAATTTACCAATATTAGAGCTGGGCCAATGCAAGGCATTTTTTTAGCATGTTTGTGCTTGATTTCTCTACTGATTCAATTTCTCCATAGCTCACCAGGATCTTTTATTTATAGGAAGCCGAAAAATTTCTGGCGAAAATCATCCTCCTCCAGTTAGTTCCAGAATCATCACTGGGCCGCAAATGTGGTCTACGCAAGAGACTGCATAGCGATCGCTGATGCAGTCCCACATTGGAATCTTGCAAACCACCTAGTCTATCGTGGAAGACATCGAAGTATACTAGTATCCGTGTACGACCACTGCTGCTAGGCCTCCAGGTCATGCACAGCAATCGCACTTTCCAACGATTCACACCCTTCCTATTAATTCTTATCAGAACCATTGGAATCTGTTGTGCGCCTCCACCCGTTGTTGTCTCTGAGTTTCTCGGCTCTGATCGCCAAATGGAGCCTGAGACCATCAGGCTTTACTCAAGGATCACCGCATTGCCCACAGTAAGTGGATTTCCAAAGTCTCCAAAGCGCTTTCTGATATTATCATAAACGGGCATTAATCGTTCGATTGAGATAGGCGGGGGGAAGCATCATACGCCGCCCAAGGCGAATCCTCGCTATCACAAATATGTTGCTTTAATGCCATTGTATCCCAGATATATAAAAGAGCAAGAGCTAACACGGTAAAATTGCCATCCTACTCTCAGAAGGCACCTTGGTCTAAAGCGTGAGCGTGGTTCTAAATGACTGTAAGTTTCGTTCGACTTTTATACCTGTCCATATGATCCTCACCATGTAACTTGGTGTCAGCAACGTTATCTGCTTCCTCAGCGGCTCTACCAGTCGCGTGGCTCCTCTCGCTTTACCCCCGCACCTACCAGAGAGTTCTGGGTGAACGGTCGCAAGGGAGTAAGGCTTGCTGACGTGCTGAGAGGAGATTTAGATGGCTTACAAAATCAAGACGTACAATTCTTCTCCGCGGGCGTTGGCTCCAAGGTATCATACCGCTTGGAAGTGAGTAGAGTGAATATCTATGCTTTACCGCTCGTTTAGTACATTTTCTTACGGCTGTCTAAGGTGGTCGGGTACCCATCGTTTGGCATGCAGAAAAGTGCGCGGCGTTTTACGGCCCCCTATGAAAGCGTCACTCTTGGAAAGGTGGCTTTGCAGGTAGCTGAGGTGGTGAAACAATTTCTGGACGTAAGCATGTTCCCATGCGGGTAGTAGCATATAACTCACGATCCGATGGACCAAATTAGGGTTTATCTCAACGACCCATTGTTCCCTGCCCAGATTGCGGCGCTGATAGCCAGTGGTGGCTTGCCCTTCAATCGGGTGTCATCACCACGGAACATATATACGTAACCGAGCTTGTTCATGTGTCCGCCGCGAGTTTCCAGCCCACCATCGAAGTTGGATTCCCGATACCGCCTGCCATGCACTAGGTAGGTCTGCGTGTCAGTGTTCGGCGCATACGTATGAACAAGAGCTCAAGTGCTTCTAATCAGTAGCACCATTGGATCGTCGCTCTTTGCAGCACATGGGACTACCTGCTGTGGCGGAAGATACTGTGCACCAGGACCCGGAACTTGTGGAACGGGGCAATGATGTGAGGGAGGAGATGAAAACCATGCATAGCCATAATGATATACTACCGCATCAATGGATCCGAACTAGTACCCAAACAGTGCATATCTCGTGTGAACCCGAAGCTCGACGCAATACATTATATCTGCACGTTTAAAAATGGGATTGAGTTCAGTCACAAATGGCGGGTTGTAGCACCAGCTGATGAGAGCTCTCTTAAATTAGCGGACTTAGTAGTAGTAGTTCATGCTCTAAACCTGTCACTGACTCGGACTCCGATCTCTGACAGCCAGTCCGAACAGACGTAAACAAACTCAGGAAATGAGAGGAAATGAGAGAGCACTGGCTGCGGAGGCTTCTGAATATCTCCATCTCTATCTGACATACTTGGAACTTGAAGCTTGAGCGTTTGAACTGCCATCGAAGACGTATACCATGATTAGAAATACAACGGAAATAGTACGAATGTGATACTGTATATCAGGACTCGGATACTTTAGAGAAGCATGAGTATTACGAAGGTTTACGTTCCACACAGACATATCGGAGGCCATCAGCAAAATGGATTTCAGCCTGCTGAGCTTGATGTGCTTTATAGCGTCCGAGTCTTTCGTAGCTTTAAGTCAGGCGTCTTAAGGGCATCTCGCATGATTGACCTCAGGTGTCAAATTTGACAGGCCAAGGGCCCAACCTGACATTTCTAACGGGTCCTGCGAGTTAGAGCACTGGCGGGCTTACTTCAAGTATATCAGAA